GTTTGACGGGCTGGTCCAGGTGCTGTTCCAGCTGTCTCTCTCTCTCTCTCTCTCTCTCTCTCTCTCTCTCTCTCTCTCTCTCAATGCATTGAGTTAAGTGATATTAATGCTCCGCGGTGCACCACTCTTGTCTGCTTCTGTACGTCTAATGAAGATTAAACAAAAACTATCGTGTCATTTTCACTGTTCTACATTATAATGCTTAATATTTATTAGCAGGATTGTTTTGCGCTCACATTCAGTAAGAACTGCAGCGATTTCTTCTTGAGGAGATTTTCAATTAGCGCTGCGGAAGTGTGTCATCTGTAATAGTCATATCCTCATATATGGTTTATGTGACACTTAAAGGACTAGTTCACCTAAAAATGATAATTCGGTCATCATTTACGTTACAAACCTGTATGACTTTGTTTCTCCTGAAAGAAGGATGTTTTGAAGGATGCTAGTACCACCATTGACAAAAAACAATCAAACGCTTTCTCAAACTATCTTTACGTTCCACAGAAGAAAGAAGGTCATATAAGTTTGCATGACATGAGAGTAAATGTCTTTTTACTGAAAATGCTAAAGCTTATTGATTTTGCTCACACAGGATATAAATACTTCCAAAAAATATATAATAATAATAAAAAATATATATATACAGGTGTATCTCAATAAATTAGAATGTCGTGGAAAAGTTCGTTTATTTCAGTAATTCAACTCAAATTGTGAAACTCGTGTATTAAATCAATTCAATGCACACAGACTGAAGTAGTTTAAGTCTTTGGTTCTTTTAATTGTGATGATTTTGGCTCACATTTAACAAATCCCACCAATTCACTATCTCAAATTAGAATACTTCATAAGACCATTAAAAAACATTTTTAGTGAATTGTTGGCCTTCTGGAAAGTATGTTCATTTACTGTACATGTACTCAATACTTGGTAGGGGCTCCTTTTGCTTTAATTACTGCCTCAATGCGGCGTGGCATGGAGGTGATCAGTTTGTGGCACTGCTGAGGTGGTATGGAAGCCCAGGTTTCTTTGACAGTGGCCTTCAGCTCATCTGCATTTTTTGGTCTCTTGTTTCTCATTTTCCTCTTGACAATACCCCATA